CTCTCTCTCTCTCTCTCTCTCTCTCTCTCTCTCTCTCTCTCTCTCTCTCTCTCTCTCTCTCTCTCTCTCTCTCTCTCTCTCTCTTGTGGACACAGACAATGTCTGACTCGACAAACTACCGGCCCGACGGTATTTGTCCTTAGGCTTGGTTGTTGTTGTTGTTTTATTTTTATCTTTTATATTTTTTTATTTCTTTTTTGTCGCAAAAAAAGGGAAAAATAAATTCCCTTGCATGAGCTCCCTCCTCCGCCCGCCCCACCACGCCCTGGAACGGTCGACGTCCCACTCCCGACCCTCAGTGCCCCCATTCCGGCCATCGTACGACCGATCGTACGACCGTACGGCCTACCTCCCGTATGACAAACGGGGGTATAGACAGCTTTAAACCACCAGAACTTCTGGTCCACACTTTTCCGACACTGCAATCCCCCCGCGTGCCACAAAAAAATGAACTGGTGCCGGCCTTCTTTTGGCTGGGACTGCCAGGCTGCCAGCCATTTTGCTCTGGCAGGCCGAGGCCACGTTCGAGAAAAATGGCTGGGCGGTGCCGCTCAGGGAAAACCTCATGCCCTGCTCAGCTTTCATTGTCGGAGTGTGACTGCCTAAAGCACAGAAAGGCTGTGAAACCGCGCGTTCATTGAACGCGGATTTTCTGTTCAGAAACTGAACGGAATGCACGCGCATTCAATGAACGGGACCGAACGCGGAGTTCAATTCCGCGCGGGTGAAAAAAAAGAAAAAAAAAAGACCTAAAAAAATACCGAAAACAAAATATGTTATGAAAAAAAATAAATAAACAACATTTGCCTGAGCATTACATCTAAATTCGTTACCAAATTGGAGAAAAAAATAGAAAACAGAAAATAGAAAAAAGAAAAAAAAGAATTGAAATTAGTGAGCGAACACGATTTGACGCCGCCATCTTTGGCGATTTTTCTTTTTTTTTTGCCTCAGCAAAATGACTGCAAAATTGAGAGGCATGTACCTCACATTGTACAAAACTCACAAAAACAAAATCAGAAAAAAAAAACTATTTTTAGGCATCGAAATGATTAAAATAAATAAATAAATAAAAATTGAACGCCGTTCAATTTTGAATGCGAATTTAAATCCGCATTCAAACGCACATTTGAACGTGAACGCGCGTTCACGGCCTTCAAACGGTTACACAGCAGAAAGGGGCCTGGAAAGCGGCAAAATCGGTTGTGCCAAGGATTTTTGGAACTTGAGTATGGAGACACGGACAAACTAAAATCTCTCGTGTGGTCCCGGATATGGAGTGACAAACAAAAGCGGGAAGCGCGGAAGAGGTTCCTTTCCCAACGACTATCAAAATCTAAAAAATATCTTCGAACTTCATCGCGTGCAGCGCAACGTTCTTTCCCTGGACAGAAAGGAGGGGGCTGTGTCGTCCCCCGTACGTCGTACGGGGGGTCTCCGTACGGCCCGTACGTACGTACATACGGACGGCCATACGGGCGTACGGACGGCGGCCGTACGACGATGATTTGGGGGCCAAAAAAAACCCAAAAAAAAAAAAAAACAATGGGGTTGTAGACCTTTTCAAGATCTACAACCCCATTTTTTAATTTTATTTTTGACTTTTGAAAGGATTTTTAAAAAATCAAAAACAAAAAAGACGGAAAAAAAAAAAAAAAAAACTCGTGGCAAAAAAAAACGGGCAGTTGCCCCGCATG